TATGGAGAGAGAGGAACACTCCTACACTGCTGGTGGGACTGCAAACTACTTCAACCTCTGTGGAAAGCAGTATGGAAATACCTCAAAGCAATATAAGTAGATCTACCATTTGATCCAGCAATTCCACTACTGGGCATCTACCCAAAAGATCAAAAGTCACTTTATGAAAAATACACCTGCACTGGAATGTTTGTAGCAACACAATTTCACAATTGCAAAGCTATGGAAACAACCTAAGTGCCCATCAATTCATGAGTGGATAAATAAAATATGGTATATATGTATACCATGGAATACTACTCAGCTTTAAGAAACAATGGTGATATAGCACCTCTTGTATATTCCTGGATACAGCTGAACCCATTCTACTAAGTGAAGTATGTCAAGAATGGAAAAACCAGCACCACATGTACTCACCAGCAAATTGGTATTAACAGATCAACACCTAAGTGGACATATAGGAGTAACATTTATCGGCTGTCGGGAGGATGGGAGGCAGGAGGAGGGGATGGGTGTATACAGCCACGAATAAGATGTGCAACGTTCGGGGAATGGACACGCTTGAAGCTCTTACTCGAGGGGGGAGGGGGGCATGGGCGATACACATACCCTTAACACTTGTACCCCCATAATACACTAAAATAAAAATTAATTAATTAATTAATTAAAAAAAAAAAGACCAGGAAAAATACAGACTGTAGTAGCCTTAGCTAAAGTCTAGTATAGTGTGTGGACTCCAAATAGTTTGAATGCAAGGGCTCTAGCAGACTTAATTGTACATTGCAGGTTAGAGCAAAAGCTGACTCTTTTTTCTTTTAAATACAATTCTAGGTTGAATCTGCTTGTATTTGGACTGTAAAAGTTGAGGCTTTTATAAATGGATATGGCTAAAAGAATTCTGACCATCATGTAAATTGTCTTAGCAGAAATAGGACTTTAAGACATAAATTCTAAAGCAATTCTTTTCATTGTTAACATGCAAGGCAGCTGAGTCCTTATTGTTCTACAGAAGACACTGAATTTTAGCATAATTATAGATTTAACTTTTTGATTGTCCAAGACAGTGGCACTAGCTCAGCTGACCCAAATTTAATTTTGCATTCAGGATTATACTTGGAATATGCTATAGATTAATTTTGCATTTGGTTTAAAGAAGCAGCCTCACACTTTTAAGTTAGCTGTAGATTTTTGAACTTATGTGAGGGAAAAATTATCCTTACGATGTGAGTTTCTGAGGCCTTAAAAATTGCATAGCAGGAACTATAGAAACACTCCTTTAGGTATAGGATGGACCATAGCTTCTTACCTCTCTTCCTCATATTGGCACACTATCTGATACTGGTGCAAGAACAGTGGGAATTAAGGAATATGACTATTTAGGACAAAAGTGGGAGAAAAGCACTCAATCTTTTACCACTAAATATAATGGATGTTGATTTTTTATAGCTGGTTGAATTTTTTGTTTGTTTTTAATTATGAAAGAGTGTTTGATATTATCAAGTGCTTTTTCTGCATTTATTGAAATGATGATGTGGTTTTTGTCTTTTATTTTTTATTGATTCAATGATGTCTTACATTGGTTGATTTTTGCAATTTAAATCAATTTTGCATTTTGGGAATATAAATCATATTACATTATCCAGGACAAAGATGACTTACTTTATTAGTGTATAATATTTTTATGTGTTATAAATTTGATTAGCTGTTATATTGAGGAACTTTGTGTTCACATTCACATAGATATTATTTTGAAGTTTCCTTTTCTTGTGACGTCTTTGTCTGGTTTTAGCATTCAGGTAATACTGGACTTATACAATGAATTTGGAAATGTTCTAGTGTTTGTAAGAGCTTTGAAGGATTGTTATAATTATTTTTTAAATGCTTGGTAAAATTCAATAGTGAAGCCATATAGGCCTTCCTATTTGTGGGAATTATGTAATTTCCTAATTTAATTTCAGTACTTCTTATAAGTATATTCATATTTTCTATTTTTTCCTGAGTTAGTTTAAATTGTTTATTTCTTTCTAGGAGTTGCCCATTTGATCTACATTATCTATGTTTTGGTGGGGCATAAGATTCCTTGATAATGCTTTTTACCTTTCTGTGGCCTATACTGAGACTCTCTTTTTGATTTTTGGTTTTAGTAACTGGAATCATCTTTGTTTTTATGATGCATGTAACAAAAGGTCTGCTAATTTTGTTAATATTTTCGAATATTTGGCTTCATTGATTTTTTTCTATTTTTCATTTTATTTCTTTTTATTCTAGTTTTCATTATTTTCTTAGTTTTGCTTGCTCTGGTTTTAGTATTCTCTTCTTTTTTTTAGTTCCTTAAGGTGGAAGACCAGGTTATTGATTTGAAATCTTTCTACTCTGCTAATATGGACATTTACAGAACTACATTTCCTTCTAAGCACTATTTTAGCAGCATAAGTTTTGCATGCTATCATTTGCATTCATCTCAAAGTAATTCCAAATTTCCTTTGTGATTTCTTTCCTGGGAAATTAGTTATTACAAAGTTGTAACAGTGCAAACATTACTCAGTATTAAGTGTTTAATTTCTACAGGTTTGTGAATTTCCTATGTATTCTTCTGTTTTTCATTTCTAACTTAATTCCATTGTGGTCACTGAACATTCTATTACAGAATTCAATAGTTTTTAAATTTATGGAGGTGTACTTATGGCCTAACATATAGTTTGAGGAGAATATGTGTTTTTCTGTCATTGAGTGGCATGGTCTATAAAAGCTTGTTAGGTCTAGGTGTTTCATAGCATTGTCCAGGTCTTTTATTTTCTTGTTCATCTTCTGCTTAGTCATATCTTTTGAAATTAACATCATGATATCCTTATTCTTTCTAAATTTATTTCTCTCTTCAATTCTATTTATGTATGCTTTGTGTATTTGGGGGCTCTTTTTTATGCATGAATGATTATAATTGCTATGTTTTCATATTGAGTTAATCTTTTATTTTTATAAATGTTCCTTTTTGTCTATACTAATACTTTTTTCTTAAAATCTATCTTGATTGATATTGTTATAGTCACCCTCTCTTTTTGGTTTACTGTTTGCACAGATTATCTTTAACATCCTTTTACTTTCAACCTATTTATGTCTTTGAATATAAAGTGTGTCTCTTGTAGACATCATATAGTTGAGTCATTTTTAAATCCATTCTTTCAATCTCTGTCTTTTCATTGGAATGTTTAAGCCATTTACATTTAATATAAATTAATCACAATAAGTTGCTGATAAGCTGTGATTTACATCTGTAATTTTTGACATTTGTTTTTCATGTCTTATATCCTTTTTGTTTCTCTGTTCATTAATCCCTCCTTTCTTATTATATATATATATTTTTGGTATACCATTTTAATCCCCTTATTTATTTTAATATATTTTAAATTTTATTTTCTTTTTGCTTTCCCTGAGGTTTCAATTAACATTTAAACAATACAATGTACTTTATTTTAACACCAACTTAATTTCAATAGTATATACAACTTTGTTGCACTGTAGCTCTGCTCCCCTTTTTGTGCTATTATTATCAAACAAATTAAGCATCCGTCGATCAAGACATTTTCATCATTATTGTTTATGTAGCTGTGTTTTGAATTATATAGGACAATAAAAGAGTTACAAGCAACATGTATTTACGCCACTCTATGATGGTTAAAGTTTCAACTTCATTGGAATAAGAACTATTAGAGAACTAGCAAAACCTATTTCTGGATATGTACCCATTACACACTGTTGGTGGGATTGTAAATTAGTACAGCCATTATAGAAAATTTTATGGAAGTTCCCCCCAAAATTAAAATAAAACTACCATATGATTCAGCATTCCCACTACTGGGTATATATCCTAAGGAAATGAAATCAGTATTTTGAAGAGATACTTGCACTCCAGTGTTTATTGTAGCTCTATTCACAACAGCCAAGTTATGAAATCAACCTAAGTGTCCAACAGTGGATGAATGGAAAAGGCATATATACACAATGGAATGCCATTTAGCCATAAAAGAAAAAGAGTGAAATCTTTTTTTTGCAATAACATGAAGGAATGTGGAGGACCTGTTAAGTGAAATAAGTCAGACACAGCAGAGAGACTAATACCTCATGATCTCACTCATGTGTGAAATCTAAAAAAAAAAAGACAGGGTTTATATAGAGAATCAGAGACTGGCCAGGGGGATGGGTAAGGAAAATATGGGAAGGATTGGTGGTGAATGGATATGAAATTAGTATTAAATAGAAGAAATAAATTCTGGTGTTCTCTTGCGGAGTAGGTGACTATGGTTAACAGTAAAATATTATATGTTATAAACTAGCTAGAAGAGAGACTTCTGAATGTTCCTACTATAAAGTAGTGGTTAATACATGAGGTTATGGATACAATAACTAGCCTGATTAGATCACTATATGACATAGATATATATTGAAATATCAAATTGTACCCCATAAATATGTACAATTACCATGTGTCAATTGAAAATAATCAATCAATAAATGCTACAGCAAAAATCAGAGCAAAAGTTTCATCTCATATAGACTTACCTTGAAACTGATTTCATTAATATACTCTTCTGACAAATTTTGGAGTTTTCTTAAGTGCAAATGTCTGTATCCACCAACATTAGTTTGAGCAAAATAAACAGGCATTATTATTAGGAAATAAACTCATGAAGATGCAGTAATGCTATCAAGATAGGTTACTGATCTTCTCCCTTCAGGGGAATAACCATTCAGCAGGTCCACAATCTGTTTAAGCTTACCAATACCAGATTAAGGAGAAGAAAACCTTAATGATATTTTTGGGGAATAATTTTTTCCAACTCTTGATGTTTCTTCTATGTGAAGGGCTTTTTATTTATGTAGCACATCTGACCATTTTTAGACCAATGTTGTAATCATTACTCCTGAGAAATGAGTAACTTAGCTGGTTGTTAGGTTTGGAAAGAGATACTCTGTATAGCAGCCCCTTTATTCCTTCCTTTTAGGGAACAAGCTTGACTAAAAAAGAACCAAGAGCTGCTCTGCTCCTCCAAACTGTGAGTTTTATTAGAGAATTAATTACTGCTTAGAAGAATCCTTTGGTTGTAAGTCATTGCCTCATTAATTATTTGCTTCAGTATTAAGAACTCTAATTGGCTCTAGAATCAAGTCCCATCCTCAGTGTTAGATTTTAGTTGACTCAGAACTTGAGCAGAGAAGGTAGTAGTTATTTTTTGGGCACTATCAAAGTCCCTCCATGTATCTTTTTAAAACATCATTCTGTTAAAAAGTGAAAAATACAGTGCAATAAAAAACTGTTATGAGAGTTCATAGCAAGTGTTCAATAAATATTCATAGAATGAAAAAAATTATAATAATCAAGGAAATCTGTTCAGAGCTCTAAACTTAAGAATCAAATCTGTATCTTACTAGTTATATGACTTAGAGCAGTTCACATAAACTATTCAAGTCCTCAGTTTCATTGTCTTTAACAACAAAAAAATATAGTAACATTTACTTTATCACATTTGGGGGTTATTAAAATGAGATAGTTCTGAAAATGTATTTCAAGATTTAAGAAATACAAAAACATAAGCATATTGGCAATGAGAGTTTGAGAATAGACTATACCTAGAGAGTGGTAAATGAAATAGAGTAGTCACCAAAAACATTGATTATGCATGAACAGAGGATAGTAAATGGGAAAGGTAAATCTAGGTAAGTTGGAAGACAGGTAGATATCTTAAAGAATACTTGTCACATTGAACTTTAGTTCTTGGATTTAATGTCTCTTCCCCACTAGACCATGGCACAAAATATCTATTTATGTTTGTTTTTCCAGTTCCTGACCAAAGATAGACACTCAATAAATTTGGCTTAATTGAATTGACTGACTGAAAGTAAATAATAAGGTTAATGAATGCATGCTAGACCTTGTTTATTTTAAGATTAAACCAGGTAGAAAAGCAATTATGAAACTAGAGATAAAGCCTAGCTTCAAGGAGATAGAAGAGTTCATCCTGTGCTCTTATGCTACCTATAAACTAATTATGATTGTACATTATATTTTAGCTATTATGCCAGGTACTAAGGATACAGAGATGGTTAAAAAACATCTTTTGACCTTAAGGATCTTAGATTATTGTGGTTTAGCAATTGTCATAAATGCAATCTCTGAGATATACACAAGAATATAAATTTGCCAAGCAGTATTTTTGTGCCACATACTATACACAGACATTTCAGGCATTATCTCTTTTAATTCCCACACAAAGTCCATGTAATTGGCAGTGAATACTCTTATAGATAAAGAACTAAAGTTTAACTAAGTTATTTAATTTTCCTAGGATATGAAACTTTGGAAATGGCTAAGGCAACATTTGAAAGTACATTTCCTGGACTTCAAATTTAGTGTACCTTCCAAAACTATGCACTGCTTCCCATGGAGAAATTTTAAAGTGCTGTGGGAACGGACAGATGAAAATGGGAAAATATAGGTTGATAAACTCAATGTTTGTAAAGAGTACCATGATGATATATCTTTATCCTTAATGAAGTATGCATTTAAAAACAGGATCATGGAGAAAAGTCAAAAGTAGAATTACTACCATACATTTGAGCTATTTGTTTCTGCGTAAAGCCCCTCAAATCATTACATAAGCAGCCTAAACCTATCAAAGACCAGCCCTCTGGGCAACAGTAGTGGTGAAGAGCTTAGGGTGAAATCACAGTGTCTCTTATAGGATTCCATTTCATAGAGTTGGCTGATTAATTCCTCCTAGGAAAGTATACTAATATAAAGGATTCTTCCCTGGACTTCCAATGACTATAGCTGTCCCAAGAGGTGAGGAGTCCATGGGGAGAAAAGATCATGGCCATGTTGTCTATAACCTGTTTCTAGACTTTTATAGAACCCCAGAATCCCCTGCCCAAGGAATCCACAACCAAATTCCCCAGAGCCTCTTCTAGGAACGCAAGCCATCAAACACATCTCTAGGCTAAAGTCTGGCCAAGAGCAACTGTTTGTGGAGTATGTGAGCTTGCATGAGGGGGCTGTGGTATCCATACATATGCACCCAAAGCCCCTTGCAGTGCTGATTGCTGTACATGAAGAAAAAGAGAAGTAGCAGTAGAGCCAGGTGCTAAGTGATAGCTAACCTACATTATTTGTGTGACCTACGGAAGACTTTGAGAATTATAATTGCAAACTTAGCTTTTAAGTTATTTTGAAGATATGTTTATAAAGTTGGGAGAGGAATATATTTTACTTAATATTTTATTAGTGAGATATATATATATATATATATATATATATATATATATATATATATATATATATATATATATATATATATATATGCATATACACATATCATGTTAGGGGTACAACTACAGAAAAAAATTCTGTTAATTCTACTAAAAATTCTTGCCCTGAAACTGACAATTTAAACTAGAGAGCCATTTGAATTGAAATTTTAAAGGAGGCCTTTTTAAAATTCTTCCTTCCTGTCAGGGCATAAAATTTAAACCTATAAGAGGGAAGTGTTTCTTGCAACTTAGGTGGTATCATTTTACTTTTATTTCACATCTAAATTATAAATTACTCTATCCTCTGATTAATTTTTAATATGTTATTTACTTGAAAATTAAATGCAGTGTAATGGAGTTACCAAGAAGTAGACCAAGAAAATGAGTGACTAGTAGATTGCCTGTTAACAATTCTGCATGATATATAGCATGAAAAAGTAATCAATTTTGATTGGAGATATTGTCTCCAGGGAAGCTAGTAAAAATGAGCTTTCTTTGCTTCTAGTGGCAATATTATTGAAGCTTCTGAAATTGGGGTCATAAAGAGTTGACAGTTATTCTTTGGGGGCTTTGTCCTCATTACATCTCTAACTCTACATATCTTTTATAAATGTGTACTTGCTACATTGTTTCAGAGATTTGAACCTGTCTTAAAGAGAATATGAAGGAGCTTTTTTTTCTTCATTTTCCTCCTTACATATCAGAGGAAGGGACATAAATCTGAAGTATTTGCTACAGCAAAATTCATGACTAATGTTCAACAGTTATCACTATTGGAGGTAAAATGTTTTATAAATATAAAAATCATCACATCTAACAATAAAAACCACCAGAAAAATGAGCTCATGGATATATTTGTTCTAGGTATCTGTCTTGTTACTGATTAACTATTTGGGTAGAGTCTCCGTATTTAATCTCGCACTTCTATGTAGACTTGCTCATCATCAACTTTATCATGTCATACAAGAAGAAACATTTTTCTTTGCTTGTGTGGCACCATATATCTTCCTGCTTTCTTTATTTCTTGAGGCCTTAGGTATTAGAGCTTGTTTGAAATATTAAAAGACCTAGCTTTATTACTATCTCTGATTGTGTTTCAAGTATGTGGGGGCTATTTCCTTCACTTCACTGAACTCTCTGTATCCAATATTTAAAATGAGAGTCATATAACATCATCTTTTAAGTGCCTTCAGGTAGAAATATTTAATACCCAGAGTTTTTTTCTTCTAGATTAAGTAACATATCCTAAAATGAATTCATGCATACTTATTATATATGCCTTGAAAGTATACATTAAGAAAGCAGCTATTATATAAAAAGTAGATCAGAGATAAATGATTTACAGATCAATAAGATCATCATAGGCAGAGCAGAGTTCGATACGAGGCTTTTTTCCATTTTATTATTACTTCCCATTTTTTCTGTGCATGTGTGTCCTGACTTATTTTATAAATTTCTTAGTGGCACTAATGATGAACTATAGTGACTTTATTGCTGCACTTTATAGTACAAATGTAATATATTATAATTTAAATACTTGCTGTGATCTGATTGTATCTTCCAAAATTCATATGTTAAAATCTGATTTTCACAGTGATAGTATTAAGATATGGGGCTTTGGGAAATGATTAGGTCATAGAGTTGAGACTTCATGAATAGGATTTTTGCCCTTATAAAAGAGGCCCCAGAGAGCTGGCTTGCCCCTTATACCATGTGAAGACATAGTGAGAAGTTATCATCTATGAGGATGAGGGACTTTACCAGATACCAAATCTGCTGGTGCCTTGATCTTTGACTTCCCAGCCTTCAGAACTATGAGAAATTAATTTCTGCTGCATATGCACTACTCATTTTATGGTATTTTGTTATTGCAGCCCAGATGCACTAAGACAATACTTATTTTAAATTTGCTTAGAAGTTCTTCCTTAGGACAGTTGCCCAGCAGTAACTTACTCCTGACCATAATCTGAGACATCCTGAATATTTACACCCATCTAAAGACATGGTTATAGTTTTATAAAGGTGAATATATATTTATAATTTGTGTTGACTATGCTAAGGAAATATTTATCAAATATTCAGATCAAGAACTAAAGTTTGAAGACTAACCAAGAAAATTCCTAATGGAGTTATGCATGACAACTAATGATAAGTCATTATTACCTTGTGGACCACTGTGCTTTCTTCTTTTGGGCTCATTGAGGTCTTCTTCATTCTTTCCAGTACCCAAAATCAGCCCTTTTATTCATCAATGCTTTTTTAGGTTAGTCAGTTCATAATCTGTTTTTTATTAAAATATATTAAAAACATCTAATTATACTCAAAATGAAACTCAAATTCTTTACCATGGGCCCTAAAATTCTATATAAGCCTATATATCCAAGCATATTCACTATGTTCCACCCATACAAGATCTCTTGTGCCATGGCCCATTTGCACGACGGGTGATGAACACAAAACAAAGAGACACAAAAGGAAGACACAGACACATACAAAGACGGTTACATGACTCAAGTGACGAAACACTGGGTCAGTTTATTTTTATACATTAAAAAATTTTTATACTTTAAAAATTTTTATACTTTTAAAAATTTTTATACTTTAAAAAATTAAAGTTAGTTCCTTATACGTGACCACCCAGGCATTACAGCATTGGCCATAAATTCCAGAACACGTAGCCTTAAGGGCACAGATATCCTCTGACTCAGAGGATATCAGAGGAAACTCAGGTTTCCAGGTGGTTGCTCTAGGCACCAGGCATAGATCACAGACTGAGATTAGCAAGGTTGGGCAAGGCAGCCACAGGGGGCATTTTTCATCCCCAGTTCCTCTTAGGCTGGGGCAACTATGCCTGTCTTAGGTCACCCCTCCCTTGAGGGATCTTATCCATCATTGACTAACCAGCTATCTTATGGGGCTAAGCAGCAATCCTAGGAACAATGTGTTTATCATGTGGCCTCCAGACCCTCACTGCCATGGGGCTGGGCAGCTCTTGCTTACTTGTAGAAACTCAAGTCCTTTGTTATGCCTCTAGGAAGCAACCTTGTTTGTCACACAGATCCTGCCTGGAACACATTACTTTCAAACGCTCTGGGCAGAGCACATACATTGCTCACTAAATTTAATTCTTAAACCAGGAAAGTATAATGTCAGTCCCCAACACTCTTGATCTTCTTTGAATTTTCAGGAAACATGAAATTCATTTATATATTAATTCCTGTACATTTACTTATCTTTCCCTCCTTGAGTACCCTTTATCCCTTAAAGGTTTCACATGTCTGCCTTCTTACTATCATTCGTCATTCAATTCAAATATCTTCTGTTCATTAAGTCCTTCTGAGATGACCCAATCCAAAGAAAAACAAATCTCTTTTGCCTCCATTAGTACCACCCCTACTGTATAATATTTTTTATGGTTTATTTATTTGTTTACTTGTGTATTACATGTCTCTTTCCTTTTGATATTTTGAATTTCATGGCAGAAGAGCCGTTTAATTACTCATAGTTATATCTTTTGCATCTGGAAAAGCCTGCCAAATATTATATGCTTAATAAATGTGTTGAATTAATGAAATACCTTAAGCAGTTGTCTCCCTTCTCCCCCCCCCACACACATACAAACACACACACTTTCCTTCTCCCATCATGATTAAGGAACAAACAGTCTTCTTGAAGTGCAGAAGCTTGAACAACAGCCTTACTTTCTGTGCAGAACCATAGGAAGTTGTGATTTCTATAATCTTAGCACTTTTCTTACAAGAAAAGGCATTTCTTCTACTGGGACTAAAGAAAGATACCCTTTTTTTATGTCCTGTTTGTGTGACGTGTCCAGTGGTGATTTTATTTTTTTTAATTCAAATAGTGTAGGGGCACATGGGATTTTTGTTACATGAATGAATTGTAGTGTACCTGTCACCAGAATAGTGTACAATGTACCTGATAGGCTGGTTTTTTTAAATCCCCTCCCTGCTTCCCTCTTCCTACCTTAATAATACCTACTTTAAGATAAAACATCATGAATATCAAGGTGAAAAGATGTGAGAAAATCATACTGTGCATACTCAAAAGCATATAACCAAGGATGACAGACAAGGAATTATTGTTAAGAGTAAATAAAATCAAAGTTAATAGAAAACATTTCAGCAAAAAATGTGAGAAAAGGATAATAATAGAGATTAATCAATATCACTAATAAAATGGGAGAGGGGGCATAAAACCCATGATTATACTAAATACTGAAGATGTAAGGGAGTTTCTAAAAATCGATTATCAACAAAACCATCAAAAATATGCTCAATATGAAGAAATTATTTATCTCATCCAATTATGATGAATATGAGATGGATAAAATGATATAGTACACTTAGAAAATTGAAAAGGATATCTCCATCATCTGTAGAAACAATATGAGTAAGCATACAAAGGGTATCTGAAACTATTAAGTGAATCTGAATCTCTAAGGAATTAATCACCATTGTACAAAGAAACTAGGTTATGTCCACATTTACATAATTGGAGACTGTATTTTTACAATATAAATTATATATTTAATTTCTATAAAAGGATATTCATTTATTCATATTTAATGCAACCATTTATGAAAAAAATATTTTTCAAGAAGCCACTATGTGTGACAAATTGTGAAAAATATTGAAAATGCAGAAATAAAAATGATTATGATAAGAACCATGACCATAAGAAGTTACAACTCTATAAAGGAAGCAGGAAGCTAAGAAAAACCTAAAATTGTTAAACAGAGCTGGAAAAAAAATAATAGAAATTCTCACAGGAGAGGTTCTGCTGTAGTATTATAGGAATTTAGATGGTAAGTAATTAATGAAGCGCATGATTTTGAAATAAAATACTTTGACGGATGGGAAGATAATGATCAGGCTTGGAGGATTTGGGAAGAGTAGAGGTAAGCCCTACAAGGAAAAAGGGATTGGTTAAATAGTGGTACACATATTTTGCATTTGCTGCACACTTTACAATACTAGATTGTTTTTAAAAACACACATAAAGTAACTAAAAAAGTCATAAAAACATTATAGGAGAGAATAATAACACAATCACCATCACTCTAAAACAATGTCTATAAAGGCACTCATGGTTATTGCAGCGTTGAATTGGTGTTCCTTAGAATCATATTGCTCTTTAGATTGACTTGTTTACTGCCTTGACTAGACTTTCTTGTACACTTCCAAGGCAGTTATTATTGATCTCAGGGAACAAGGTACCATCTTTAGTAGTGGTTTGGCATTACGTTTTCTATCTCTGCCTTTGTAGCAAATCACATCGAATAAACTCATGGCCAAAACAGTCTATCTGACAGACCTCATCATGATAGCAGGTACTTTTAGTTATATCAAAGTAGATTTTTAAAATGGGTCAAAGTTTGGTAATATATCTGTGAAATATTTGCTGTTTTCTGATTAAGAGACAATATAGTATATGTAATGCATGCTGAGAAGTTCAATTCATTTGAAATTAATAAGAAGGTGAGTGATTGAAGTTAACCTAGAGTATATATGAAGTTGAGTGGTGGAAGTTTGGATGGAAATACAAAGAGATGAGATTGTGAAGTTTCTTCAATGCCTCACTAAGAAAATTAATTATCTTTACTAAACAATAGAAACAATAGGCAAACAGAAACCAAACTGCCCAAATTATTCTTTAGGGAGGTTAATCCATGAAACAAAGTATGCTCTATGGGCCAGGGTGAAATGGGTAGGTCAAATGGGAAGGCAAAGCCTCCCATTAGAATATAGTCTTGAGACCAAGTACAGTTGGCCTAAATAAAAAAGATGGCAGAGGGAATAAAATGGAAAAAAAATGTCTAAAAAGCTACAGCAAACTAAATCCAATATTATCTGGAATGTAGAAAATCTAATACATGCTATGTTTGGTACTGTCAGCTATGATAATGAAGTACAAAATAATATCTTCATCATAACATGAACATTTTAATTCTGTCTAAAGTTGGACTAGGTTATAACCAAGTTTGCGAATATCACTAAATTATTGCCCAGAATATATATTTTTTTTATTACCACAGTCTTCACAGCGAGTTATTAGGTGCTCTGTGGCCTGGGGGCTGCTAATCTTGAAGACTGCCCTTGCACAACCTATCGTGGAATCCAGACAACTATAAGTTAATAACATTGTTTCCTCTTCCTGATGTGATTTAATGGTAATCAATGCCACTTACCATCTCATTAGAAAACCATCTTCACAGCTCATCAAAAACTAAAACCTGAGGGGTTGGACCTTTGCAGTCAATTAAAAGACAAAAGCACCCGGCATTTTTTCAAAATACAATTTAAAATAAGCACATAAAATAATAGCTACAAGATAATGTTTGTTAGTATTCAAAAATGCTGCTTTGATTTGGTATCAACTTTTACAGAGGCTTAGGAGATACAGACAGATGTAGATATGGATATTATGTCTGTATGTATATATATATATATATATATATACATATATAAATATTACCATTGTTCAAAGAAAAGGTGTAAACTTATAGTTTGCACAACCTAAACCATTAACCTTAGAATAGTCATATCCAGTTAGCCTTCTAAATTGCAAAAGCATCTTCTTCTCATTCTCTCATTCTTAAGGCATTTTTTTCAGTTTGATTCCTTTCAAAGCACTACTGTGCTACTTTTCAAGAACATAATATGTTTACAATAATGACAATTACAATTACACTTAAACACTAACATTTACAATATAAAAAATATACCTGGGCCTATGAATTTTGTTTAATCTAGAGATTTTATCACTCAAATCAGGGGTGAGCATCAGGATTATGAATACATTTTTAAAGACATTTCCTCTAATTGGTCTGTAAAGTATACTACTTGTAAATTTGTACATATAAATGGAAATATGTTTATATTTTTCTTCTGGTAACCATTTGCTTTTGTCCTGATTGCCATAAAAAGAAGGTAAAGAAATTGGAACGAGTTATTCCAGCAGCCCATATTCTGTATTTAATTTGAAACTATTGGAAAAGATTTCCATACAATCTATATTGTAACTTAAATTAAAAAGTGACAACTTTGAAAACATGTTAATGTTTTCCTTTTCTCTAAAAAAATGATCTAGACTAAAAGACCAATTGTTTCTTGAAACATACCATGAGAAAGCTGAGAGTTACCACTCATAATATTTAATGAAAGTGTGTTTAAATTTGCCAAGAAGGTAATTATAAGTAAATGTACTAATGCAAGGTTCTAACATGCAATTATATCAACAAAATTACTATAGTAATTTCTTCCACATACATACTTTAAAAAATGTGCTGGCTGGTAATAGAAGAAAAGCTTGCAAGTGGAAATTTTTGCATGACATTGAATTGATGCTATTTTGGAAACGTTTTTATTGTTATTTTTTGTTTTGCTTTTCTGGTAAGAAATAAAAAAAAAAAGTTTTCTGTGCATTCTGGCATTTAATTTTCCCTACAAATAAAGCAAGAAGATTTGCTCCAGTGAAACTGGCTAGAGAACTGCATTCTCTTTCAGTACAGGAAATAAATTTTTTCTATTTCATCTCTGTTACATCTTCTCACTTGGAAGCCATAGGGAGTCCTCAGGACTCCATAACACACAACAGCTGTGTTATGTAGCTCTTAAACTTCTTTATTTCACCCCTCTGAAAAATTGTTTTCGTTTGGAAAAAGTTCATGAAGACTCAGGGAAAGGAAAAAGTAAATTTATTTAAATTTTCCACAAATCTCACAAATGTTCCCTCTAGTTAAGAGAACATTTCCATGAAAATGCAGTGGGTTGTACGATAATATAAATTATGAAGGCAAATCAAGACACAAAACCCGAAACCATGAAAAGTTAACTTGTTTGAACTAATCAATAAATTTAGTCTGGGATTTTATTTTATTTGAGTTTTTATATTTGCGTTTATCAACAAGTAATTATATAATTTTTATATAATCATCAGATCACACACTTCACCCAAATTAGTTTATTTAACAAAAAGCTATCACCACTACATATGCATCTTCTTTCTGTACAGTCTTCAATGACTAACTTTGAGGAATTAAATATTCAAACACTTTACCACTTCAAATTATTACCACCAATGATATATTATTCTACTGTTTTTTCATCATCAAGCCAGAAAAATGAAATTTTCTAAGTTACCATTTATTCTGTTCCCAATTTTATTGTCATTATGAGTAACCCTAGAAATGGCATTAGTACAAATCAGAATTTGTTTGCATTTTTAAATTTTTCATTAGGAGAGATTTCTGGTAGAATTACTAGGACAATTTATGTAAACTCATTAAGGCTTTCAAATGGTTTTCAGATAAAGTAACACCAAATTACATACTATAGGTGGTATCTCGCTGATCCCTTTTGAATTTTTAGGGTATTCACTTTTAAATAATGGTAATAATCTAAATAAAATAGAAAATTATTCTTTTTTATTGTTATGAAGATCAAACACATATAATAAAGTAGAAATATGCATGTAGTACAAAGAAATGCTACACAGAATTATGCAGTAAAATATCTGTTCTATCCACCCCACATCTCCGGTCCTACACTCCATGAGTAACTATAAACACACAAAAAAATAGCTCCTCAATCTTTGTGTATTGTCCAAATCCCTCTTCACTTTTATTTCTCCCTACTCCATTGTTTGGCTTCTAAGCCAACCATGGACATGGCAAGAGAACTAAGAACAGAAAATATACTTTATCTTTGGGATATCATTGTTAGCAATTAAAAAGTATTGGACACCATTGCTGGCAACTAAAATCTGTTCCACACTCAATGCCAGGTGCTTGAATATGTTACCTCCTCTAGCCCTCACAGCGTCACAATGAGGTGGAAGTTATTCCCTTTTTATAACAAACCACTCAACAGCAACAACAAAACTAAATTGCTTGTCAAGCACCTCATAGTTGGTAAATATAGGGATTGAATTCACACCCTGGTCTCTCTGGCTCCCAGGTTATGGTAGCTGATGAATGTATTTACTTTTCAAACTCACTTATTTTTAATAATCAATATGAATTTGCATTTATTTTGTTACTACAATGTTTAATAACCATCTATTTCCTCTAATATCTGTTTAATTTTTAATAATATCTTTATTGATATATATAGTTCATATATAATAAATTCATCCTTTTGAAGTGTGTAAATCACTCATTTTTAATATAGTCACAGAGTTCCAACCATCTTCATTATCTAATTCTAGAACATTTCATTAATCTCACAAAGAAACTCCATACTTGTTATCAGCCGTTCCACATTTTTACATTCTTCCCATCATCTGATAGACACTAATCTGCTTTTTGACTCTATGGATTTGCCTATTCTGGACATTTACTATAAACGAAATCATAAAATATGTGGCCTCTTGTGTCTATCTTAACATAGTATGTTTATTTATACTGTAGCAAGTATCAGTATTTCAGTCCAATTGAACAAATCCAATTTGAAAAATAATTAAGCAACTGTGATGTAACAGTCGATTTTCTAAATTGTTTTTCTCAGAAAGCTTGTTCTACACAGATACTAATTGGTGAGAAGGGCTTGGGGTCAAGGAAAATTGGAAATCCCTTGTTTAAACAATCTTTGGTTTGTCATCACAGAACTTCTCAGGACCTTAATTATGCACATTTGCTGTGTACATTTCCAAGAGGGCAAAGTTGTATGCATAATTTCCTAAATATATTTGATTACAGAATTCTTTTTCTTTGGTGGAGAAACCAGAGTTACCAGTGATCTGTGAAATATATTAATACTTTTGAATAGAATGAAATAGTAAAAAAGACATTGTCTTTAGAAGGACAGTCCTGGAATCATTGAAAAGTTTTTCACTTATTAGTTAATGAGATTTTGAGCAAGTGTTAAAACTTTGAGACAGTCTGAAAAATAGAAACAGTAAACCCCATTTAAGAAGACAAATATGGAATAAATGCTATAATTTATGTGAAATTATATAACAGAATGCTCATTATAAAGTTAAAATCCACTCTACTTTGTGAAATGTAAATAGGTATGTAATAAAAATGGCAAATCATTTCAATCCAATGAGTAAAGTAATTAGATAAATTTAGAAAAGTTATAGGAACTTAATATTTAGTGTGTAATTGACTTAGAATTCCTGGTTTTAGAAAATTAGTACATTTATCATTAGAGATTTCTGCAACATCAACCCTCTATAACTCAAACAAAAATGTGGATATCAAAACAAGTCCCTTAATAATAACATGGCCGTCCAAGAGGTTGGGTGTATTGTTCCATTAGATAGGACAGGATGTACTTAAAGGCAGTGAGTGAAAGTAGACTAAAAACATTTCCTACACATGTAATA